TTTGATATTGTGTGTATGCCATGAATTAGAATTGTGCCGTTTGTCCCTAGTTTAACATTTAGATCTTTATTCCATGTTGAGTTTGTTTTTGTATGTGGTGTGAGATATGGGTCTTGTTACATTCTTTTGCAAATCGATTTCCAGTTTTGCTAGCACTATTTGTTGAAAGGAGTAGTTCTTCCTCATTTAATGTGTTTGACTCTTTGTCAAAGATCAGTTGACTGTATATGGATGGATTTACTTTTGTGTTCTCAATTCTGTTCCATTGATCTATGATGTATCTTTCATTGTACCAGTACCAGGCTTGTTTTTTCTGTTTATTTTTGTTTTAAGCTTTTATTGTGATTTTTGTGAGAATGTACATGGGAGCAGCCTTTGGTATGAGTTGTAAATGTAAAGAAAAAAAAAAAAATCCTCACTACTGGACCAATAAACCACATCCAAATAAATTGTTGAAGTAATAAAGACTTAATTTTGCTTGGGTCCACAATCAACACTCATGGAAGCAGCAGTCAAGAAATCAACTGATGCATTTGCATTAGGTTAATGTACTGCACAAGACATCTTTAAAGTGTCCAAGAGCAAAGATGTGAATTTGAGGACTAAGGTGCGCGTGACCCAAGCCATAGTATTTTCAATAACCTCATATGCATGTGAAAGTTGGACAGTGAATAAGAAAGACTGTCAAATAATGGATGTATTTGAGTTATGGTCTTGGAGAAAAATACAGAAAGTATCATGGACTGGTTGGCAGAAGAACAAACAGATCAGTGTTGGAAGGAGTACAGACAAAATACTTCTTAGAGATATGGATGACAAGCCTTTTTTGTCTGTCATACTTCAGCATATTATCAGGAAGGAATAATCCCTAGAAATTGCATGATAGAATTTTGTAAGACCAATGACTTGTTTGATTCAAATACCTTTTTTTTAGACAACATATAAGATGATTACATACATGGACTTCACCTGATGGAATATACTGAAGTCAGATTGACTATGTCTGTGGAAAGATATGGTAGAAAAGCTCATATTATCAGGAACAACCTCTTTTGAGCTCAAAATGGCAAATTTTAAATGTTGGTGAGTAGTATTTCCTGGTAGAAAAACCAAGTCAGTATTTCTCAGTTTAGATCATCCTTTTATGGTTAATTTTTGGATGTGTGGGTAAGAGTTGTTGTTGTTAGTGCCTTTAATTCAGTTCCAACTCATAGCGGACCCTGTACAGAGTTTCCAAGGAGTGGCTGGTGAGCTTGAACTGCCAACCTTGTGGTTCAAACTGACCTTGCTGTCAAGCGAATTAGCCCACAGCACCACACCCAGACTCTTGTGGCTAAGATAAACCCCTTAAAATTTAAGTAAGATGTCATTAATTTTTTCCCACAGAATGTAAGGTGATTTTCTTTCTAAAATACTATCTGAGTCAGTATTTTTTTGTTTTTTTTAAATAAGTTTTTATTGTGAATTGAGTGATAGTTTACATTGGAGAGCGTCAGCTTTACATTCATCCTATTGTATTTCATTTCACTGCAATGATTTCAATCCCCTCCATGCATTATCATTCAACAGCATTTGCTTCCAATCCCTGTTGTTGTTATTTGTTGTTGTTGTTTTTGGATGTACACCGAAGTACTCAGGAATATATATAACCATTCAAACAACCCAAGGGTATACCCTGTATGCCAGCACACAGCCTCTTTCCCTCCTTGAGTCAAGAGGCCCCCGCCACTCAGTCTCTCCACATCATCATCTCTGCCTCCATTTCTGACGTTGCTGCTTCTCTGGATAGGGTCCCACACTCTGCTCTTCTCCTTTGATTGTCCCAGGGACCTCTGCTCCTGGACTTCAAGATCAACCACTCCCTTTTGCTATAAAATGTCTACCTTTACATTTGCAACACTCACAATCAGTCCTGATAGCAATTATTCACTATTGAACCACAAGAGTCTTCTCCCCATCTGAGTCAGTTTTGAATGTTGTTATATTCAAAGACATAAACCTTTAAGTATCAAGAACTTCTATGATAGTGCTTCTTAAGATTAGTGGAATGCTACTGTCTCTTCACTATAAATTAGTTTTGCTTTCAGTCCACTTGAAATTCTGAAGAGTCTGGTTACTCAGTTTTATCATTATCTGTGTCAACTGATTTTCCTTTTATTCTTTATTCCCTTTGTCCATATCCTTGTTCTTAAAGATGAAAGGGAATGAAGGGAATGCTGGTTTTTTAAGTAGATGCATGGTTAAACCACAGAAGATACTATGTTTCACAATGTAATGTCAAGTGAAACACAAATAATACCAATTTAGTTTTGTTATTCCAGGTCCTTATTATAGTGTCTGAAGTTATACTATGCACCTGTTTTTCAGTAAT